AGTGCAAATTCTCCCTGTATATCTTCCTCTGTACAGAAAATCCAGGATGCCTTCGCAAACCTCTCCCATTTGCGCTACATCTGGTTCCTGGACTGCCACACCATTCTATTCCCAGTCCTTTTCCCGTCACTGCCTACCAAATCAGCAGATACTCAGATACACAGGAAGCAGGCAGCGATCCATTTGTTAGGGCTTCCACAACAAACTGTCACAAATAGGGTGGCTTAAAACAACAGAGATTTTATTGTCTCACAGATCCGGAGGTTAGAAGTCCAAAATCAAGGTATCAGTCCTCTCTCAAGGCTCTAGGGAAGAATCCCTCTTTGCCTCTTCCAGCTTCTGCTGCTTGGTAGCAGTCTTTGGCATTCCTTGGCTTTTGGACGCATCACTCCAACCTCTGCCTCTGTCCATTGTAACATAGTGTCCTCCCTGTATGTCCCTCTCTTCTCTTCTTATAAGGACACTAGTCATAGTGGATCAAAGCCCCCCAACTTCAGTATGACCTCATCATAACTTAGCTAATTGTATCTACAACACTATTTCCAAATGAGGTCACATTCTGAGGTACTGGGGATTAGGACTTCAACATATCTTTTGGGGGAACACAGTTCAACCCATAATAGTTGTACATCTCAGATCTGAGCCCCTTGGATTTGTGTTGATCTGCAAGGCAGCCATGGCCACATTTTTGTCATCAGTTCTGATATGCTTCATTAACCATGAAATCTCTGGAAGCACTTTAGATTGCCATTGAAGTCCAATTCTTCTTAAATATTTAACCACAAAGCACTCCTCTTTTGGAGCTTCCAGACTTCACTGAAGGATGGTAATCCTCCAGTAGACAATTTTCCATAGAAGGTTTTCCAGTCTGATTGTGAAGGAAGAACGCTTCTCTCCTTGCTGACACATGGTGATATATTCATTACATGCAGCCTAGCCATGATCCATCCTGATACGCATTCATTCTGGGGAAGTGAGGGGGTTCTCCACATAGCATTTGGAGTGTGGACATTTAGACATTGGCATATCTGTAACTTCTAAGGCTTGCCACCCCTCTATTCTTTCTATGACATGTTCACTCATTCAATTCCACAGGTATTTGTTGAGTGCCTACTATGTGTCAGGCACTGTTCTAGGCATTGAAAGTACGGTAGTGAACAAAATAGACTAAAGGCCTTACCCTCATCAAACTGACATTCTTGGGGGAGAAACATGCAGTAAGCAAAAAAGTGGAAAAGATGCAGTATGTCCGATGGCATAAGTGCTATAGAAAACGTTAAATAGAGTAGAAAGATGGACACTACTGAGGATTGTAGTTGTGAATATAGCGGGGTCAAGGACAGTCTCATTGAGAAGATAACATTTGAGCAAAGACATGAAGTAGGGGCACACCTGACATGTGTATGGAACAAGATGATCAATTCAGCAAGAGTAGAGTCTGGGAGGGAGAGAGCAGTAGCAGGTGAGAGCAGAGAGGAAATAGGGATAAAGATGGGAGCAGATCCTACAGAGCCTCCTAGGCCATTGTAAGGATTGGGCATGTTCTCAACATGACCCAAAGTTCATTCCAGGAATGACATTTTTTGTAAATTGTTCAATTTTCTCTTAGAAACTGGCATGTGACAGTTATTCTAAAGCATACATGATCACAAGTTCCATGGTAGAAAGAAACAAAAGACCCAGAAGATCTGGTCTCAGTGGAGCAGGGCAGCAGCCTTAAACTAATCCAAGCAGGTCTGACATTGACCTTCTCATGATCCAAACAGATGCTTGATTTCTTAAAGCACTAAATGTCATGAAGATTGGGATAAAAATCTAATTTCCGTTTGCAACTTATCATGGGCTGTATCAGGATAGGTTAGGATGCTATAACAAAAGAGTCAACAATAATTCATGGCTTGAAGAAGATAGAAGTGTTTCTCTTTCTCATGTAACAGTTCCAAGCTGAGTAGCATTTCAGGCTGATGGGTGGCTCTGCTCCATAGGGTCATTCAGGGACCCAGACTGACAGCAGCTCTGCCATCTTCAACACTCGGCTTCCAGAGTTGTTCTACTTGGCACCATGCCCAGCCAACAGGGAGGAAGAAGGCATGTAAGTCCAGGCCAGGGATTTCCTCTTAAGCAAATGAGATGGAAGTAACATACATCTCTTCTACTCCCTTTCCACTGTCAAGAACCACATGGCCCTACCCAGCTACAAGGTCACTTGGGAAATATGCTATTTACTATGGAGGAAGGGGAGAACGAATTTAGGTAAACAGTAGATCTTTCCTTTAGTTTTTCCTAAAGGATCTTTATGCAGCATGCTACAAGCACTGGAAGTCACTCTAGACACCCACTGGCAAATTCCTCCTCACACCCCCTTACTTCCTCTTTTACCTTTTTCCCTCCCCCAAGCCATCTGCATACCATGTAGGCCTCCTTCCCAGCTAGAAGGGACCGCCATGTTTGCTGGCCATGCCGGGCTACTGAGACAGCTGGAGAACCTGGAATCCTATCAACCCCTGTCTCCCTTCACTTCCAGCTGAGGAGTGTGGAAAAAAGTTCCCTGGGATGTGCGGTTCTTCCCCTTTTGGAATGTTTTACTTTCAAAACATTCTTGTGAGGCATTTCTAGTGAATTAAATTCTCCACTTCATTACACAAGTAATTCAGGGTGGCTGGAGCAAAGGGTGCATGTTGGGGATTAGCAGGAGATTAGGCCAGACAGGTAGACAGGAGCCAGAGCATGGAGGGTCATATAAATCTGTGTTTACCCAAAGGGCAAGAGGAAGTCAATGAATGCTTTGGGCAAGACAGGAAGGAGCCTGATTTGGGCAGTGTTTTAGAAAGCTGTTAGGGTTATCAGGGCAAGAATGGATAGGAGGGGATGAGACGGAAGTCAGGAGACCTGTCAGAATGTTGTTGTAGTAATCTCCTCTGGGCCTCAGTTTCCTCATCTGTAAAATGGAGGTGATGTTAGCACCTAAATAATAAAGTTGTTGTGAGGATTAAAGAAGTTAAAACACAGAAAGAGCTTAGAACAGTGCCTGATACCTAGAAAGCCCTCAATAAATATCGGCTGTCATTATTAATCCAAGTGCAAGAGAATGAGGCCCACACTGAGACAGTTGTAGTGGAAATAGAAGAATCCAGATTCCAGAAATATAAAAAAGTTAGAAACTTGAGGATCCAGTGACCGGGTCATGGGAGAGGGAGGGAGGAGTCAAGAGGGTTACCAGCGTGATCTCATGGATGTAGATCTCGCGCATCTTGGAATCTTGAAGAAGTTGACTTTGTGGAAGTAGAGAGTAGGTTGATGGTCCCCAGTGGCTGCGGGCGAGGGGGCTGGAGCGACGGGACGGAGGATTCCTGGTCAAAGGGTACAAAGTTCCAGCTAGACAGGAAGAATATGTTCTGAGACCCATCATGCAGCAGGGTGGCTATAGTCAATAATAATGTATCATATATTTCAAAATATCTAAGAGAGGAACTTTCAAATCTATCACTACAAAAAATTTTGGGCAAGTGAGGTGAGGGATGTGTTCAATTAGCTTGATTTAATCGCTCCACATTGCATATGCATAGCATAGTGTGTTCTCCATACGTGTAATATAGCTATGACTTACCAGTTCGAAATAACATAAGCTTTTTAAAATTAAAATTAAAAAAGAGAGGGTAACTAGTCACTGAGATTGAGACCTTAACGAGGAGTGGATTGACAAGTCCCACTGAGTCTGAGATGCCCGTGTGACGTCACCAGGTGGCATTTTAAGGGGGCTGCAGAATCGACTGGCCCAGGGGCCAGGAGAGAGTTTGGGCTGGAGATAAGGATTTGGAATCTTCAGCATAAAATAGCAATTGAAGCCATGGGAACGGAAGGATCGCCTAGGATAGAGGACAGAGAGGAAGATCCAGAAAGAGCTCTGGGGAGGCTCCAAGGCACAGGCAGAGAGAGAGGAGCCCACGGAGGAGAGGGAGGAGCGTGGAATGGTGGGAGGAAGACTGGGCGGAGGGAGAGGTCAAGCCGGGCAGGATGCAGGAGGTTCCGTGTTGCGGTGAAACAGAAGCCTTCGGTGGCTTTGGTGAGCGTGTGGATGGGTGGGGGCAGAACTGAGAATCCAGTGGGAGATGAGGAGGGGGTGACAGCAAGTGTGGCTCCTCCTTCGAGAGCTCTGGCCTTGAAGGGAAAGGAGAAATGGAGTGAGTGTGGAAAGGAGAGATGGAGAGTTGAACACATCCGGTGCCGGTGAGGAGGCCTCGGGAGAGAGTGAGAAAGAGCCTGGAGGGCGGAGGGAGGTGGCAACTGCGGAGTAAACTGCCCTGTGGAGGAGAGAGGGTGCAGTCAGGGTGCAGACAGAGGGACTGGCCTCAGGAAGGAGGCAAGCAGGGAGCCACAGGGCCGCAGGCAAGCTCAGAGGGGAAGAGGGAGGAGGCTGAGGCCAGACCTGACGTGGCCACTGAGCACTTTGTAAGCCATACAACAGGCCACGTATGCTTGAGGGGTGCAGGTCAGGGACTCAGAGAGCCACAGTTGGACCCAGTGGGCCCTGGGCCAGGTTGAAAGAGGAAATGGTGGCCAGGCGCAGTGGCTCACACCTGTAATCCTAGCACTCTGGGAGGCCAAGACGGGAGGATCGATTGCTTGAGGTCTGGAGTTCCACACTAGCCTGAGCAAGAGCAAGACCCCGTCTCCACAAAAAATAGAAAAAATTAGCTGAGTGTGGTGGCATGCTCTTGCAGTCCCAGCTACTCAGGAGGCTGAGGCAGGATGATCACTTGAGCCCAGGAGTTTGAGGTTGCAGTGAGCTATGATGATACCACTGCCCTCTAGCCTGAGTGACAGAGCCAGACTCCGTCTCCAAAGAAAAAAGAGAGGAAATTATGCTTGGGAGGAAATTGTGCTCAGGATGCTGGGACAGGGAACAGGGACAAGGCCAAGTGTGTGAAGGCACAGTCTAAGCAAGGCTGAGCAGGCTGGTCTGTGCTGAGCCCGGCTGGCCCTACCTTTCTTTTGTGCAGTGGGACTTGGTGTGCAATTCCAACAAAATGAAGGAGATGGCCCAGTCTATCTTCATGGCGGGCATACTGATTGGAGGGCTCGTGCTGGGAGACCTGTCTGACAGGTGAGATGCAAGGGCACAGCCCGTGGAGACAACCCCTCCCCACCCTGCTCCACCCATGCACCCCCAAAGAAGCAAAGAGCCGGGGGAGGTGGGTGGGATGGCCCTTGCTGTGTGCCTTGGCCAAGCCCACTCACTTCGTAGGCCATAGCCTTCTCTCCACCCCAAAGCCCTTTCCCCAGACCCCGAGGGAAAAGCCTGCAGGTTTTCAGACACAGAAGAGCGGCTGTGTGGAGCTGGAGGCAGGCTGGATGGACTGCTTAGAGACGGGTGACCCCTGCTCAGACAGCTAAGCTGGGGGTGGATGTAGCAGGGATCACTCATTAACTCAAACTTCTAATTGCAAACTTGTCAAAAAATAGCAATTACCAGAAGCGCTCTGTCTGGGGAGGGAGGTATATGCCCCACAGGGCAGTGGGCGAGGGAACTCAAGTCCAGCCCTTTGCCCCAGAGCCTGCAGAGTCACTGGCCTTGGCAGGCCACAGGGGCTAACCTGGCCCCTCCTCTCCCTCGAGCTGCAGGTTTGGCCGCAGGCCCATCCTGACCGGCAGCTACCTGCTGCTGGCAACCAGCGGCTCCGCTGCAGCCTTCAGCCCCTCCCTCACCGTCTACTTCATCTTCCGCTTCCTATGTGGCTTTGGCATCTCAGGCATCACCCTGAGCACCATCATCTTGAGTGAGCCGCAGGAGGGCAGGGAGCCGGGTTTTGGGGAGCACCCGCCAGAAACCAGAAGAGAGTGGGGTCTGGGCATGGTTCAGCCACAGGCTCCCTGTGACCTTTATTAAGGTGCTGCCTTCTCAGGACCTCAGAGGCCCCCTCTGAACGTGACAGTGAAAACAAGCATAATAATAGCAGCTGTCAATACCGAGGCCTTACCTTGGGCCTGGCACTCTGCCAGGTACACAGTCTCATTCAGTCTGTACTTGTGAGTGATACTATTATCCCCATTTTACGGATGAGGAAACTGAGGCAAAACAAAGGAAGTCACTTGCCGCTGGAGAAGCAGTAGTCAAGAGCATGGGTTTGGGAGTAGACAGACCTGGGTTGAGTCCTACCTCCTGGAGCCTCAGCTGCAGCTTCTGTAAAATGGGGACGATGGACCCCTAGGATCGGGATCAGACTGAGTCACCACGGGGAGGGAGGAGCTTGTGCCCCTTGACAAGGAGGTACCTGGGGCCTAGCAGGACCCTAATCTTGTCCTTGGGCTCTTCCCGCAGGCGTGGAGTGGGTGCCCACCCGGATGCGGGCCCTCGTGTCGACAGCAACTGGCTACTGCTACACCATTGGCCAGTTTATCCTGCCCGGCCTGGCCTACGCTATCCCCCAGTGGCGCTGGCTGCAGTTAACCGTGTCCATCCCCTTCTTTGTCTTCTTCCTGTCATCCTGGTATGTGGCCCTCTCCTCCTCATCTGCCTTCCTAGGCACCCCACGGGCCAAACAGAGGGAGCCTGTGACTGACCGGACTAGCCAACGCTGTCTGTCCCTGGGTCCCCCATCCCAGAGCCAGGGGAGGGCCCTCCGGGGGGAAGAAGTTACGTGAGCAAATCCATGCTGCAGGAGGGGCAGGTGTCCTGGGCGCAGTAGGGGCCGCCTGCGGCCGAAGAAGGGGAGTAAGTTGGGAAGGACGGCATGGGCCGCGGGGAGCCCGGAGAGCCAAGGGAGCCTCATGGTCCAGTGGAAGGAGGAAGAAAGCCACTGCTGGTGTCTGTGGTGCCGCAGGCCTGCCCAAGCTTCCCTGTGCAAAATAATAGCTGAAAGGGACAGACTCCCGTAGCTGGGGAAGACAGACAGACGGGAGGTGACGGTGCGGGCAGGAGGATTCTGGGGGCAAGTCTATGATGCATTTTGAAGGAAGAATCCAGAGAATTTGGGGCCTTGTACATTTGAAGTATAAAGGGAAGGAAAGTTCAAAAAGGAGCCCCAGCCTGGGAACCCGGGACAGTGGGTGGCCGGGTAAGAGACCCAGCGTGGGTGCAGAGCTCATGGTCAACATGGTGAACCTGAGGCCACAATGAAAGACAGGAGATGAGTCTCCAGAGGTAGCTGGAGCCAAGAACAGGAGATCACCAACAAGCTCCAGGAAAGAACTGGACCCTTGGAGCCTGTCCCGGCCTCACCCTCCATTGTCTTGGGTGCCCGTGGTGTCTCTGTGCGAGATTGTATTATCGTCCCTGTTTGGTAGATGAGGACACTAAGGCTCAAAGAAGTGAAGCAACTCCCCAAAGTGACATGAAAAGGTGCAGAAAAGGGACGGAACCTCGGCTTGGAAATGAGAATAGACGCTCGTAGAGGGAATGGGCAGTGCGGGGGACAGAGTGAGAGGGATGGTCAGGGGTCCCGGTTGGGGCTCGGGGCACAGCCACAGCAGGGGTGGAAGCAGCGACGGAGCAGGCAGAGTCGGGAGGTAGAACAAGGCCAAGTGGTCGGCAGAGTGCAGTCGCGAGCTCGGGCCCATTCATCACAAGCCACGGGATAAGTTTCACCCACACTGAGCCTCAAGAATTTTCTAGGTAAAATGGAGACAATGTTGCCTGTCACCCAGAGTTTCATGGGCCTGGTACACAGGAAGGCTCATTAACTGGAAGCCATTGCTGTCATTATTCTCAGGAGTCCAGGCCCTGGCTATGGTGTTTGAGAGGACATCCCTGGTAATCTTGGTGACGGCAGGCTCAGAAGACTGTCAGGGGAGGAGGGGGGATAGTGACAGGCCCAGGAAGCCACCACTATCAGCTGGGGGCAGTGGTCTGAGGCCAGGTGACCAGCGTCCACTCCCTGAGGGCCTCGCTGCAGCCAGGTCCTGGGTACCTACGGGGGCCACAGCCAGAGCAGACCGCACCTTGGAGCAGACTTCTGCAAACGCCACTCCTTCCCCCCACATCTCTGCACCGCACCCACCCCCGCCTCTATGCCTAGTGACCCTCAGGGATTGCTCAGGGTGAGCCGACTCCAAAAACATAGCCCGAGGGAGATGGAGGTGACCGCTCACTTGCCAATCCCAAGATCCCACCCCCCCACCCCCGTGCTGTGACCACACCCCTGCCCCCAGCAGAGTTAGTCC